TGTGAAATAATCACACGCTAAGTCGAAGACTTAGTGAGGCATAAAAACTTATAATGCACTTTATAACATATATCAATACATGCATGTTATGTTCTATCATGTTATACCAAATTACATGATTTCCTCGTATCATATAAAATCATATCAGATTAATTAAAGTAAATACATACATACACATAACTCATCATTAACAGTTTATCATGTAATCACATACTTTTATGCTTAACCTTTTCAATCAAACACTATACACACATAACATCATATCATTTCTATAACATTTATCATATCACTAACATATATTTGTTTATATCTCTTGATTAGCCCATGTACATATGTGAGAACTATAGATATGTGAGTTTATGGAGGTTGTGCACTAATGCACCGAAGTGTCACCACAGCTCCATAAGGACCACATATCATTCCTTAAGAATCATATACATATACTAGGGATCAAGTATGTGTCTCATCAGACTTCACACATGTTTCAAAGAATACATATATGTCCCGAAGGACCACATATCATTCCTTAAGAATCATATACATATACTATGGATCAAGTATGTGTCTCACCAGACTTCACACATGTTCCAAAGAATACATATATGTCCCGAAGGACCACATATCATTCCTTAAGAATTATATACATATACTAGGGATCAAGTATGTGTCTCACCAGACTTCACACATGTTCCAAAGAATACATATATGTCCCGAATGACCACATAGACCCTCGACTCTTGGCATGCCAACTATACCCCTAGCTCTCATGACACATAACATGGGCATTTTCATTTATATCATTTCATATTCACACATGCATATTAATTATCTTTTATCACATGTCTGATCTCTTATAATCATGTAATCACATAGCTCATGTCATTTCTTGTAAAATCACATATATCATGTAATACATATAACTTATACACTTTCTCATATGTTCACATGGTTCTTATCACATGAATAATATCTTTTCATATAGTTTATGCTTTATTATCTTATATTCCCATACATGTAATACATATCAAGCATGGTTACACAACTCATTTCGATATAACTTGCATGTACCTATATTCTTTTTCATATACTCACATAGTCATATAGTATAATATTTCATATAACCTCATGAAACAACTCACATGGATACATACTCAAATACTCATAGTTACATATCACTTAAATTATTCATATTTACCTAATCCATAGTCTTATAGCTTTTATCACTAAGTCATTTATCTAATCTCTTATTCTCATATGTTCATATTTATCATATAACACATAAGTTTTATTGCATATTTATATCTCATTCCTACATCACTAATTCATAATATAATTTATATCATATCATCTACCTTATTCTGTATTTCTTAGTATACACTTACTTTACCTAACCTACATTATACTTATAAACCTGAATATATTACTTCTATTATTTCTTTTATGTACAGTTTAATCTATTTACTTAATTCAATTCCGTACAACTCTTATAATCATTTCATATCACTCCATAGCTTTTATTATACAACTAATGTATCATAATTTTATTTAAGCATATGAATCTTTCTCCTCTATCTTATCTTATATGCTCATAGTATCACTGAAGTTCAAGTCTCCTAGTTAATATATTATTTATGTAACCTTTGCTTACTTAGTTCATATCCTTTCTCATAAACTCACGTTTACCATATTCTCATATTATTACTTAAATTATCTCATAACATGTATTCACGTAGTAATATTTCATTTATATATATATATATATCAAAGATCCTATCACATAACTTATCTTTTATATTCATATAATTTATTATCGTATCATATGGTTTATATCATCATAACATATCACATATTCACATCAACCATATAATACATATATACAATAACATGTCAACACATATAAATCATACACATATATACTTCTATTTATGAATTCATGCATTTTATTATGGAAATAGACTTGTCGCAAGTCTTATTTCCATTTAACATCATATAATACTAATATGCACTCACCTGGCCTTACTAGTCCATTTCAATCTCTTATCTTCTCTTTTTATCGATCTTACTTGTCAATGATTCCGGAACTCGTTTAGGCTCTGAATCTACATAATTATACATTTTAAGACAATTATTAGATGCCTACACCTTGTAATTTGATACTAGCAACTTAAATGAACTTATTAAACCAATATTTACAATTTTCCTTTAGGGGGTATCGATTCCCTACTGGGGGTATCTATACCCTCATAACATTCTGGAATTCTATCGTTTGAGAGGGTATCGATTCCCCTTGAATGGGTATCGATTCCCCTAGCCCAGAAATCCTATTTTGAGCTCGAAATTCACTTCATTTCAGGTTAAACCTTCATATTTTAATTCCTTTAATATTCCTAACTTCCATACACATATTTAAACTCATTTCTATTCCATAATCACTTCTTTAAACCCAAAATTCCATCATTTACATGGCATTCAAGAATCAAACTAAATTTTCAATGTGTTCTAATTCCAATTCTAACACTTCATACTTCTTAATTAGATTGATGACAAGTCAAATTCATCCATAAAACTTCAACAACCATACCATATCAAAATTCCATCTTAAAACTCATATTACAAATTCCTTCTTAATTCCTTTATCTTATTGTTTAAATCCCATATAAGCTTTCCTTAAGCTTATTTAATACCCAAAGAATCAAAATCCACTTAATATTTACAGTAATTAACTATAAAAACCCAACTTACCTATTTTAGCTAAGCCCCACGTGAAGAAGAGAAAGCAAGAAGAAGAAAGCTTCCAGATAGCTCTCTTCCCACGTTTTTTCCACTCTTATAAAAGGGAAAAAATATCTTTTAAAGGAAAAAGACTATAATACCCTTAATTTCCTTTAATAATTACTAAATAACCTTCATCATATATTTCTAATAATCATTGAATTATTTCATTCTTCTACTTTAGTCACCAAATTCTGAAACTTTTCAATTTAGTCACTAACCCGGTATTGTTGATGTTACAAAGCGTCCATCTCTATCTGTTTTGATATGAGTTACTGACCCAGGATTTTTCAGCTTTAAATTGTGACAATAAGCCGGCAGTTGGGCAAACGATGCTTCTGGCGACCCCCTTAACAATTCCAAGGCATAACATTTGTCTCTCCAAGCTTGAGAATATGAGATACTAATCTTGAACCGAGCATTCATGTCAGTCATAATTTCATGTCCCCGATATACCCTGCCATTCAAAAACATTAACTCAGCCAGAAAACCACCCAACACCTTTTTGTTTGTCTGTCTATGGTGAGGAAAAACTTGGGTTCTTGAACATGTATGTTTATCAATAAAAGTCCTAACTTGAAACATTTCGCAATCTTTTATCCTCTTTGCAATCATACGCCACGTACAGTTTTTGTCAATCATACACCTTGTTTCGAAATGATCTTTGTTTGATTTGTTAACTTTTAGTTGATAGCCATCTTCCACACATTTCGTATACAAAGCTATCTTCAAGTCTTCCTTTGTATCAAAACAATCATCTTTCTTGATACGAATAATTTTTGTGTAACAATCAACTGCTATCTTTACCAACTCTTCTTCCGGTATCTGAAGTATATCTGCCATATTCCAGTTATACTCCCGTGGCATTTTCTTCGGGGACTTTTCTTTGGGGATTTCTTCTTCTTCTTTTTCTTCTTCAGTGTTATATGAATTACAGAATAGATGTTCAACATGTTCATTTACAGTCGTAACTTCTTCCTTATTATCATCAACAACATCTTCCTAGGCAACGGCTATTTCATCATCAAAATTTGGGTATTGACCAATATCAAAATCATTACACGCAGGGTCTGTTTCTTCTTCTAAAAAATCATCAAAATCCGAGTATTAACCAAGATCAAAGTCCGGGTATTGACCAAGATCAAATTTCAAATACTGACTAGTACTCACAATTTTTTCTGTTGGCTCATCATCGTCTAACTGGTCAATACGAAAACTGGAATTTGGTGCTGAAAGTTGATTGGGATTTGGATTAGGGAAAGGTTGTGGGTTTTGAGATTGTGTTTGGTATTGGAAATGTGGTGAAACAATATTTACTTGGTGATGAAATTGTGGTGGAACCATTAAATTTTGAGCACCATAAACTGGGGTTGAAAAACTTAGTTGATTACTACCCGCTACTGACCCAACTTCACTACTTCTAGGTTCAACAACATACAATGTAACATCATCACTTGAAACACTAATGTAAGCAATGAATCGTTCAACATCTTCATTGTTGGTTAACAAATAAACTTTACCATTTCTCTGATAAGATAGCCTAAATCCACTTAGGGGCTCTAAATTCAATTTATTTGCAACACGTAACATTAGAGTTTCATAAGTTAACTTTTTTAATGACAATTTTAGTTGAAGATTCATGGGTAAATGCATATATTGTAAAACACCATGAACATTCTCCTATGACCCTCCAAAACACAAATCTATCCAAACATGATCAACATTAGATGATTTCATTATTGTAAATTAATTTACTAAACAAACGAGCTGCGAAACTAAAACCTGTTGCCGGATGGGGAATGATGTCATTGGATATAGGAACGAATGTCGCCGGAGAGAGTGATAGATGGAGATGGAATGAGTTACGATTTAGGGATTTAGGTTATGAGTTGTTGCTGCTGCGTAGTTATATACCCAAAACATTTGTGTTGCAAAACTAAAACCTGTTGCGAATTCAGAAATCGAGTTGCGAATTTGAAATTCAGTATTGCGATAGTCAGAATCTCGTTGTGATTTACAGATTCGCATTGCGATTTACGTATTCGCATTGCGATAGTCAGATTCGCATTGCGATTTATGTATTCGCATTGCGAATCTGGAAACTGATTTGCGATACCGGAGATCGCGTTGCGAATTATCGATCGCATTGCGATTTAGTTGGTCATTTTGGCAAATCCAAAAAAAGTTGGTTAAAATCGTATATTATAAGATATTTTTGGTCACTGAAGTTATTTTCTCTTTAAAAAATCTGGGAAGTTAACCGGACCAGGCCAAACTTGACCCAAGTAAGGGATGCCATCTCTTTTTATGAATACATCAGCTTCCATCCCTCTGATGTAGCTTCCGTATGTACTCTTTACACCGACACCTGTCAACATTGAAATCATAAAGTATGCGACGCTAAGATCATTATTTTACGGTTCAGGTTCCTTCCGTCACCACCAATATGCATGCATCATATAAAGTTACCAGGATCTACGATGACGACGTATTTCTGATTATTCCGATGAAGCTTATCAACAAATTGCTTCATCCGGTCCTCAGGGAAGTTTATGGGGTCAAGAGTGAAGTCCTTGAATCTGTCCATGTAATCGATGTCCGTCCACATAACTTCGAGAGGGATCATGGCTTTTGCATAGGCAGCAACCACACCCTCAACATCAGAAACATTTTTGTAGCCATATCGGCACTGATGGAATCCTTTAACAAACAATACGGAATTGAGTGATGATTAATGCATTAATAAATCAATGGTATCTAAGTTGAAAAAAAGAAAGTTGCATACTTACCAAAGGACCAATAAGGCATGGGAGCAGGGCGGCCAATAAGCTCAGTATACTGCTGAATCACAGTGTGTGGCAATGGTCCACCAAAAACATACAAATCTATAACACCTCCAATAATCTTGTAAGTTATCCTGTTTCCTCCATAGACTATGTCCATCCCATTGCTATTAAGCAATAAGACTCCATGGCTAGTCCCTGCTGCTACTCTGCCATCTTCAGATGCTGATCTTACATTAACATCGAGATTAGCACTCGCCAAATCCGCATTCCACAACGTCAACGTCTCATCGCGTTGTAACTTGAACGATCTCTTTGTGTGCTCCCCGAGTCCGTAAAGAGACGACCTGTTTGCAGGAAGCGCGGAGGAGAGTTGAATGTATTGTTCCTTGAACACCAAGAAAGTGCTTGGATCCGATGGATCCGGAGATGCGTCGAAAAGGGTGTCGCCGGAGGAGCGACGTGTCAACCAGAAACCGAATGGAGTGGTGTTTCGGAGGGTGAAAATGAGGTCTGATGTTGGGTCCGACACCGAGTGGGTTTCCTTTTGCTTCCGCGTTGGGTGGTTTACTGATGAACTGAGGTGGAAATGATCTTGTGATTGGCGAGGAATGATTTCTTTTGGGATTTCCCATCTTTGATGCGCCGAGTCTGTAACCCTGATTCTCAAACGATTGCTTGTCTCGGAGCTTCACACAGTAAAATTTAAACCGTTTTGATCTGGAAAATTTGAAGTTTAAAAAACAAGAACATGGCAGCTGGTAGAAAAGATTACCTGACGAAAAGATTGAGATTTTGTATATCAGGTCCATAAACAGAGCAGTTGCGGATAAGAGCAAGACCAGCGGTCAACCACTTGTTGTTCGGGTCAACGGAAACAGATTTCAGTTTGTAGCCATAACCAACAGCTTCATTAACTCCGTGAATCACTGAACAAGAAGAAGAGGAAGAAGAAATGATTATAAAAAACAATAAGAGATTATTTAACAAGTATGTCTTTTGCGTTTTATTCATGGTTTTGTTTTTGTTTTTCCTCTTCAGACCGGCTTCTCCTTCTGCTATTTGTATTCCATTACTGGAGTATCAAAAAGATAAGCTGTCGTTTTCTTTCTACTGTATAATTTTATTCGATGAATCCATTAAGCCACCTACTAGTTAAATGAAATATTGATTTCCTTCAAATTTTTTATTTCAAATAATTATATTTATAAAATACATGAATATCATTGATGATTAAGAATTTTCTTTTTATAAATATTATTTTACAATAATTTTAGATTAATAGAAAAGATACAACTTATAAATTATATACACAATGATGATATTTGTAATTTTTTATTGGGTTAAATACCCTATTCATACATGAACTATACTAAATTCTCAGTGTCATACATAATGTTTAAAAATTTTCGATTACATACATAATGTTTTCTGTCGTTAACGGATTCACCCACATTCGTTACGGAAAGTGATGTGAAACCCTACTACCACTAATAAAATGATATGTGACACTTTAAAAAACATGCTTTTAGTTTTTTAGATAAATTACATCATTCATCCCTCAACTATTCTCTCACTCTTATTTTAGTCACTAATTTTTTTTAATTTAATTATTAAATTATAAAATTACTCTTATTTTAATAATTCAAACTTATTTTATTAATATTTTTATGACGTGGCATAAATAAAATCCCTATCTTCTACTTTCTTTATTAGAGTCAAAACCCCTAACAATCTCTAGTTTCATTTTCTAATCTTCTACTTTCTTTATTTCATCTTCTTCCTCAGCCAGAAAACAAAAATCATAAACAAAAAAGGCATAAAAATGGCTAGAACCCCATCTTCGAAACTAAACCAAACCCATATGAGAATACCCTAATCTAAGCATAGTATAAACTTCATAGCCAAGGAAAACCCACCGAAGGAACACCTAGTTGAAGTCATCGGTCAGATAAGAAACTACCCCGGCGACGGTGGTGATAACCAAAAAGGCAAAATTCCCATCTCATTTCTCCATATCAATCCCGATAACAACACTCTCAGGGTCCAGGCCGATATTAGGTACTGGGACTTTTCCCTAGATAGGGTTTCTTCTTCCGAGGAAGAAGGTCTTGATGTGTTTTACAAGAAATTCATCGAGTCGAGAACCAATAGCGTGAAAATGGGTGCTAAGTGTACTATAATGATGTATGGACCAACTGGTTTAGGGAAGAGTCATACCATGTTTGGGTGTTCAAAGCAACCTGAGTTAGTTTATAGGTTACTAAAAGGTATATTGGGGGATCATGGAGATGATGAAGTTGGGACTTTTGTTCAATTTACTATTTTGGGGTGTTTATCCCGAAAAATCACCGGCGATCGGTATATTTACCGATTTAACACCGGTCATATTATATTTCCCGATCTAACACCCGTAGCAGTAAAGCGCGCCTCCTGAACCGCGCTATATGCTGATTTGGCACCACGTGGAGTATAGCGCGCCCCCTGTACCGCGCTATACGCTGACTGGGTTACACATAGGGTATAGCGTGCCCCCTGCTCCGTGCTATACGCCACGTAGGGGTATAGCGCGGATCAGGGGGCACACTATACGCCATACTAAAATTATATTTAACGCGGTCCCTGGTTCGCGCTATATAATAATTACATATATCGTGGTGCAGGTACCACGCCATATATGTCTATAAATACACTCCTCCGGTTCTCACATCTCCTCGCATCTCTCCTCTCTTATAAATTAATACAACAATTCCGTCAACGAGTAATAATTCTGGCAATCTTGTCATATTTGATTTAGAAGTTCGTGCGATTTTTCGTTATAAGGTAATTTTGTTATAATTTTTTAATTATACTTATTGTTTATTATCATTATTTGAAAAAATATTATACTAATTATTTTCAATTAATTTTTATGTTTGTAAAATTGAAAAGCGGGAGCATACGTCGAAATAGTTTTGCGGTGCAGGTAATAATATAAAATTATATTATTTAAATTATTTACGTTGATGTGTAAAAAAAATTTGTGTTATATTTTCGTTCATATATAATTTATTTAATCAGGTTTGTTTCAGTTATTTTTTTTACAGATATAATATTGCCGCACTTTTAAACTCAAAGAATGGCGCGACTTTCAGCTATTGTTTATTATGATGGTGAAATTCGAGAAAATGAAATCGGCGTTGTTTTCGTATCAAATGAGCGTGTTAAAATACCATTCAAGAGAAACATAACTCTTGAGGAGCTGGTAACGAAGATTTCGAGGAAGATTCATGTTGGAAGTAGTAGAAAAATGTCGTCGTTGCAGTACAAATTTCTAACATCATTGTTTCCATTAACTTATACAGCGTTCGAACTTTCGAACAATGACGATGTTCAAATGATGGTTGAAGCTCAAAGTAATTATTCCGACTACAGTAATGTGTAATGATTTTAATGCAATAATGGGGAGACATTCATCCGTAACTCCTTACGATATGTATCGATGTGGGTTCACGAATAATCCGTATGGTAACACCGCGTCCAGTTCAAGGGGAAGACATTCATCTGCAAATTTCTTTGACCTTAATATGGAGATGTCATCGACGCAACAATCTGTACAGTTTCCATTTGACACTATGGCTTCAAGCTCCAAGGAGAGGCATTCAACTGCGAGCTTTTTCGATCTGAATGTCGATATGCCTTCCAGTTCAAGGGGAATGCGTGCAAGTAGTAGGTTCTTCGACCTAAATATGGAGAGCATGGAGGAACCATCATCTCCACCAGAAGAACCGCTTCGTGAGCATGGTGCGGATGGTGCTGAGACTGGACTATTTATTCACCCAGAATCACCGCAATTCAACTTCGATGATGATGAAGTTTCAGGAAATGTGGCACAAACTGACCCTCCTGTACACATGTATAAAGCTGATTATGGTGCAATGTACGGGCCAGAATTTGCGGATATGCCTCATCTCGGTGACTATGGATATTACTCATCAATAAATAATGGTGATTTATCTTTAGGCATGGAGTTTTCAAGCAAAGAAGAAGCGATGATGGCTATCAAAAATTACAATATCCGTAATTCTGTTCAGTCCAGAGTCAACCGATCGACGACCAAAAAATATGTATGCTACTATGCTCGACGCAAAAACGGATGTAATTGGATGGTTCGCGTATCGAAAATAAAGAGGAAAAACAACATATGGGAACTAACAGTATACAACGGGTCCTCACACATGTTGTGCTGGAGGGGTCAACCAAGATCATCCCAACTTGGACTCTGAAGTGATATGCCAAGCCATCATGCCCATGGTAAAAGCAAGCTCTCATATAGCTGTTGCAGTGTTGATTTCAGCTATACAATCGCAGTATGGGTACATTGTCTCATATAAAAAAGCTGGTTGGCAAAACAAAATGCCATTGTCAAACTTCATGGCGAATGGGATGTATCTTACAACGAACTTCCAGGTTGGTTTAGGCTGGTGCGGACGTTGAATTCTGGGACAATTGTGGACTTTAAAACCTCCTATGAATACTATAATGATCGAGTTCTTCGCGATCGATGCCAATTCTACCGAGTTTTTTGGAGTTACCCACAGTACGTTAATGTTGCCAAATACTGCAAGCCTGTGGTCCAGATCGACAGGACTTTCTTGTATAGAAAATACAAGTAAGTTTTATTATTGGCAGTTGTCCAAGATGGCAATCACAACATTCTTCCAGTTGCTTTTGCTCTTGTCGAAGGAGAAGATACAGATTCTTGGGCTTTTTTCCTCCAAAATTTACGTTCACATGTTATCACGAGGGAAAAAATATGTGTCATTTCAGATCGCGGAGCTGGGATCAAAGCATCAATGGAGTCTTTGGGTCCAATGTGGCAATCACCCTTTGTCCAACATAGGTATTGTTTCCGACACATTGCTGCGAACTATCATGGAAGGTACAAGAAGAATGATGAGCGTCAATTAATTGTGTGCATGGGTAAGTGAAAGCAAGTTAGTAAGTTATACATTTTTTGATCATTTTAATTTTGAAAAGAAAACAAGTTTGTAAGTTATACATTTTTTGATCAGGTTACGAACTACTTCCTCGAACGTTTGAATCAATACTTCAAGATTTACGGGCGAATAACGAGGAAGGATACGATTACATCAGCCTCATCGATAAAGAAATGTGGACGAACACATATGATGGTGGATATTGATATGGACACATGACGACCAACTTGGCTAAGGCAATCAATTCAACCTGAAAGGGTGCACGTCACTTACCTATAGCGGCTTTGATAAAAACTACATATTTTCGTTTGGGGGCGCTTTTTGCGAAGCTCGGGGGACAAGCTCAAACCTGGATGCAAGGTAGTCATGTCAATCACCCTAGATTAGTTGCAGATCTACAGAAAAAAATTACTGCATCAAATGGAATGTCTGTAACAAGCTTCTCTAGAAGGCATGAAATGTTTCGTGTCACAGAGTTGCCGCGACCTCTTCAAGGGATTGAAGCTGTGTCGTTAAGAGTAAATATAAGGGACAGAACGTGCGACTGCAGGTTTTTTCAAGCTCTGAAGTATCCATGCTCTCATGTGATAGCAGCTTGCTTGCATATACGTCAAGACTATAACCATTTTGTGGATCCCGTATACCTACTATATGAAGTTTTTAAGGTATACGAACTTGAGTTTCCCCCCATAGGTAATGACAAAGACCCTGATGAGGTTCAAGATTGGCTTCCGATTATACCAAATCTGAGTTTATTGAGGGAGCGTGGTCATCCAAAATCCAATCGAATTCATTGCGATATGGATATTCGAGAAAGATTTAGACAAGACAGAAGATGTGGCCATTGTAGAAACCCAGGACACACTAGAAAAACATGTCCACTTATGTTGTCATCAAGTAACAATTGATGAGGAAATGATGTATTTGTTTATCAAATAATAATTCTTGTATTTTAATTTGTATTTACTTCAAGTTAATGTCATTCGATAATCGCTGATGAAGATTAAAAAAACGAACACAATCATTAAATTTTATCAAACTAATAACAATTTGGTATTTAAATA